ATTATGTCCTACGAAAGTTATAATATAGTCAATTTGTTTATTTCTGAGTTATGGTTACTTATAAATAAAATTAACCTATTGGGACCTTCATTCATAAGAAAGACATTTAGGATCATATTTAAACTGTCAAACACCAAGCGGTCACCGGTGACCGCAACCTATTGTTCTACCTCTAATTGTGTCTACAATGACGGTACTCGACGAGTTAAATTGAATAAAATGTTTTACACTGACCTCAAGTCATCAATTTTTTCAAATGATTTCAAGTAGATTAAAACCTCTTCCAACTTGTTGATGGCAGCAAAACGTTTATCAAACTCATTTCTCAATGGTTCAGTTTTATTCAAGAACGCTTCAACTTTCTTCTTGAGCTCATCACTTCTACTTTTTAATTTGTCTATATGACTGGAATTCAATTCTGCCTTTTCTAAAGCGGCCGCTAGTTTTTGTGGCACTTCATTGTTGGCTGCATTCAGCTGTAAAATTAAGTATTTATGAAGAATAAATACAGATTTTTTTAGACATTTCAAAATCCATGTTTTAAAAGTAAAACAAGAGTACCGGGACAGGCTAGTATTTCATAGAGTGAAACTGATTAAAAATACTTACATTCTTTAAAAGTAAATCTCGTTTGGTTGTTAATTCAGCCTGTATTTGTAATGTACTTTTTAAATCATTTATATCATTCCCTACCCTAAGGTTAAGGTTTTGTATTATCGCTGTTTTCTCTTCTTCATTCATTTTTACCACTTCAGCCTATCGAGTTATGGGACTAAAACCATATGTTCCATTGATTATTTTGTGTTTTTATACAAATTGGAATGAAATACTCCAAATTCGTACACGAAACAAATCAATAATCTTTATTTGACATTGACAGTGACATACGTACGTGACACGAACAATGAAATCGTCATCTATTAAACATCTACATTTCTCAGTTTCGTTCAAAAATTAAAGAAGAAAAGAAGATTTATTTCTTCAATATCACACTTGACTAAACTCACACACAAAATATAATTTTTATATAAAGGTGAAAATTGTAACTATTCTTTTAGTCTATAAGCAAATTTTTGCATGTTTTCCATTTTCACAACGTTTTCCTGTTTTTGAACTTTTGAGATTGACAAACCATGTTGTGAATGTCAAACAGATAGAGCCAACCAAACTGTCATGATGTCATGTCATTAGTGTCATTGGTTTCTTTTCTTTGCGTTGTTGATGTTCTTGATGTCGCGACCGAAAGTTGTTTTATTTGTGAATATTGACTGAAATAAATTTTTGTTCGTTTTGCTATAAAATTGAGTCAGAAAGATGTTTTCTTTTCTTACAAAGAACAGAAATGACATTATTTATTTATCACTGTTGCTGTTTTGTATAGGAGTAGGGCCTCGTTACCGGGCTTTGAAAACAGTGCAGGCAAAGAAATGGGCTGGCAGTATACTTGGTTTGCTGCTAATAATTATTGTTTCCGGATACAGTGCTCTTCACCCTATTTTGTCTGCATTTATGGGTATAATCGCTATTAAAGCAGCAACTGTAAGGTAAGTCTTGTGCTTTATTTTTAATTTTCCTCATTAATTTTATTTCATCTTTTACCTTTGACCGCTGTGTAATATTATGTTTTGTTTACATAAATATATGCAACACTATAATTTATTTTATCTGCTACTTTATCTCTGTTGAATCATTTCTTCTTACTTGCTTTTTTAATATTTTTTTTTTATTTCAGATACTGCCATGTAGTGACTTTCTTTTTGATGTTTGGATATCTATTCTTCTTTCGGCTCGCTGATAAATTCGGCTTTCCACTATCTTCAGGACAAACAAACCTCATTGAAATGATTATAGTACTCCGTGTAGTGGGAGTTGCATTTGAAATCAATGGCTCCTGGCTGGCTGTAGCAAAAGCTAAAAAGGATGAGAACAAAGAGAAAAAAGAAGAAAAAGTGAAAGATGATGACTTTCTTGAAATAATTAATCCTGATTTTCAAGATTTATTTCATTACTCTTTCAATTATATTGGACTTCTTACAGGTGACTTGATATTGTATTATATTATAAATGAATCATCTGAATTATCCTTTTTGTTAATCTAGGACTGTCCGCCTGTAGCTTTACTCATCAAGATTATAATTGCAATTAGCGAGAACCACTTTATCCAATGAAGAAAACTGACTAAATTCCTAATGTGTACTTTTCAAGTAGGTACGTTATGAAAAGATAAAGCATGGTGTAGCAGGGAGATTATTTAACACATGGGACATAAAAATTGAACTTGAATAAATAATTAATATTAATATTTATGATGATATTATTGTATGGATATTCCAGGCCCCTACTACAGATATAGGACTTTCGATGACTACTTCCGCCTGCCGTATAGCAAGTATGTTGATTGTTTTGGCTTTACCATCAACACTATGAGAATGGTTCCTCTCTATGTCTCATTGTACTTGGCTTTATCTAACATTTGGCCCCTTGAGGTAAGCATGCTTCTTAATCATATTAAATCTTTCATCATCATCATTGTTGATAATAATTTTTCCTATTACATATACATCATCATAATTTTATGCTATGACTAAACATTTGCATATAAAAATACTAATTATTAAATACAAAGACGACTAATTTTCACAGTAGCTTGCTTGTCCATAATTTTATGCTAATTAAAAGATTAATGTAGTTATTGAAACATTTTTGAATTTTAAAGTAGTTATCAGCACACACATTTTATGAATACCTGAATTACGTAGTTTTTGTGTTATATTTATTTTTCCAGTACATTTTAACAGAAGACCATAATAATAGAAACTTTGTGTACCGAATGCTGTATCCATGGGCGCTTTTCTCGGCGTTTCGTCAGCGCATATACTCTGGGATGACCTTGGCTGAGAGTGTGTGCACTTCAGCTGGTTTTGGAGCTTATCCTGTGCAGGGCAAGAATCGGACAGGCCATGGACCTACTGTTGGCTATTTGAAGTTAAAGCAGATGTATGTCAATCCTTTATCTTTGATTCCTAAATTGTGTGCAAGACTTTATTAAATTATTTTCTTATTGCACTTAAGTTCAATTGAAAGTTAACGGTGGCCTTCATTTCTGCAAGATTTCTTCTTTAAAATCCTGTAACTGTTTTGCAATTCTTATCCCTATGCTAAAAAATTACCTAAAGGTTTACCTGTATATAATTCTTTTAATCCATCACTTTTATTTTTATTGTTTTCCATAATTTGTTATTTGTTATAATAAATTAACAGACAATCGGCACAATGACCTCGTAAACGTAATTAATGTTATTTTCTTTCTTTTATTGATACCAGTTATGGACAAATTTATGAAATATATAATTATAATTGCCTTTTATTTACAGGTCAGACGAAGAAGCAGAGAATTGTCAATATGATTTCAACACTGTTGAGTCCATGGATGTGTGGGGATGTGAGACAGTGGTTACACTACGAGATTCTATGAAAGTATGGAACAAAGCTGTGCAATACTGGGTAGCCATGGTGGTCTACAAGAGATTCCCCATAAAGCCTTTGAAGTAAGTATCACAAGTAGAAAGCTTGTTTTTGTATTTCAAACTTCTTAGTTGTGCTTATGCATTTTTTTGTAAAAAAATCATTCAGATCCATTCAGTACCTTTTGTAAGATATTTGATAGTAGGCATTCATAGTAGGTTCGCATAGTAGGCAACTAATACACACATACCAATTTACTTAGTTTGTCAATACTTCGCATTATAAGAGTTTACTAAAAATAAGTTATTTTGATAAATTTCAGGATTCATGCAGCATTATTCGTGTCTGTGATCTGGCATGGATACCACGCCGGTTACTTCTTCTGCATATATTTCTGTCCATTCTATGTGATGGCCGAAGATATTTACTACAAGCTCTATTATAAAGATGCTACAGGACAGGTGAGAATATATTTCATGTTTGAAATTCAATTAAACTGTCAAACACCAATCGGTCACCGGTGACCGCAACCTATTGTTCTATAATTGTGTCTACAAAACCGGTACTCGACGAGTTAAATAGATATTTCAAGTCAAACCTTTATGCAATACGTACGAAGATACTGATAGAAAAAAAACTAAACTTCTATTGGCGTTTATTACTCGACAAACTGCGTACGTGCTTGCCACGCACACGTGCGCGTCGCGTGAGCGCACATGCGGTATATTTTTCAAAATAAGTAAACGTCGCCCCATCATTAGAGCAACAGAATTTAAAATATCTTTTTTTTCTCTTATCTGCCATATAACATTGCCAACAATATCTTATTACAGAAAAAGAAAATCCTCGGCTTCATAATGTGGTTCCTGCGTTCACATTCAGAGTCGTACCAAGCTGCCGCATTCCTTCTCCTTACATTCGATCGGATTTGGATATACTATTCATCGGTATACCACTATTGGTACGGAGTATGGCTCGCCTTCCTTATATTAGGAATCGTACTAAACAAGTTGCATAGAAGTAAACGACCACGTAAGATTAACGACGAAATTGAAACAAAACAAGAAGTTGTAAGCAACTAATTTATTATAGGTACCTCAGATCATGGTTAGCTCAATTCGAATATAAGTGTTATTTCATAGTTTTTAACAATATTTATCGACAAATGTACAATTGTTGTTAGGAACAAAACACGATTTTGAATATTCGTCTATGCTGCAAGACTTGATTATTTCAATGACATTAATTTTATTTATCTTAGAAGATAACACTCTATGAACATATTAGTTATAGTTATTGATAGCACCGGGTTTTTCTGCACAGAAAAATAATTGGGTACTTGCCAAATATTCAAATTCAAAAATTTTTTCGAACTGTCAAAAACGACAATTTTTATATGAATTTTCTAAGAGTTTGTGTATTGACATCACGTTTTTTTAGCGTCAAACAGCATGCATACATATTTCTTAAAAAAATGCTGGAAATATACTAAAATTATTATATTTATATTATTCATAAAATCAATTAATATTTTTTTTTTAATATATTATTGTATTGAACAGTCGAAATATTTTATTTTTGATTTATGAAAGTACCCAATTATACTTACGGTGCAAAATACGAATAACCTATTTACTATTGCATCGTGATTAATTCCTAATTAATGCAATGCACGTAATTGCTGTAAAATAATGATGACTTTGTACTTTGTACATTGTCAAGATAGAGAGGTCTTTACTAGGGCACAGTTTTTGTAATCATACCAGTGTGTATCATAGTATTTTTATCGGACAAATATATGTCTAAAATTAGTATCTCGCTGTTCCTCTGAACACGGGTTATTTTACTTCGGCATAACAAGCTCAGATACACATTTTTGTTTGCGAAAGCACTGTTAAACAAAATATGTCCGATTCCTATTTTTTTTTTTAACAACGTCGTGAACGACTTTCATATTGTACCGTACAACATACGTTTTCTAAAAGTATATTCATTTGAGATTATTGGTGGGAAATTAGAATATATTTTCACAATATTTTATAGCACTTGGTGCCTGGTAGAAATTATTATACCAATATACTTATTATGGTAACTTAGTAAGTGTTAGTACATTTTAGTCGTCGCTCGCTTTGCGGTCCGACGAAGTTCTTGAAGATAGATTTTCTGGAATAGGTGTCCATGGAACTTTCCAGAATATACTTAAGTCAATTCCCTGTTGTGGACGGTTCTTGTGCATTCCAACTTAATAGTAATAATATCTATTTTTATTTAATTTTAGTAATACATAGTTAAATTATTTTTCAAAATTATACTGTAAGTAATATTTATTGGGAATCATGGGGGTTTTAGGTTTACAACTGAATTTAATTACTCTATACATTCCATAGATTTAATTTTAATAGGTTTAATTTCTAATACATTTTGAATACTCGAAGACGAATTTGTGTCGAATATTATGAACTTGGACTTATACATAAAGGTTATATTTTTTATTCAATATAAATATACAACATTGGAAAATGTGTTTTATTGTAAACATACATAAAAGTTTTAAATACATTTCTAGTGTGTTTAAAATAAATGTTTTTGTTTAAATCTTACTGCTTTCATAGATAAATGTTTATCACAAATGCTTTACCCGTTGAACGCCAAAGCGACTTATAACGATTGATTTATTTAACATGTCTTCTTTTATATAATTGACGCATATCCGTAGCACTCAACAACATGAATATATTTTTATTTAAAAGCTTATTTAAAATATATGTTTAACAACACTGAACCGCTTAAAATATTAAAATTTTATAACTTAAAAGTTAAACAAAACATATAATTAATTACGAATCATACTCTGGATATATTGCTGTATCAGGTACGTCAAGACCACTGTCACACTGAAAGGAAATACAATATAACAATGTTAGAAATGGCACTTATATTTGTGATGCGTTATGAGTATAATCTGATGTAGAAAGCTCCTTGTTGGGTACAAAATTTAGTGCAAGAAAACCATCAAAATCGGTATAGGCGTTTTGAGAGTTAAGTGACAACATATATAGTTTTTTTAAAGGAGGAAAGTCATCGAATGTCTTATTCCGCCTGGGTGAGGCGGGAGGGAATGCCAGGCTCTTAATTACTAAAAACCACGCCGCTCCTACTTCTGCACTTCGAGCCGGAGCTGAGCGAACTATAGTAGATGAATATAATTTTCGATTGTAACCCAACAAAACTCTTTCTATTCGAATCAGCAATAAATTAAATATACATGAGTATTCTTATAATAGCTTAGCGCGAAAAATACAGGTCATACGGCAAATAAAAATATGTGCGTACATCCTTTATGTTGATTACAATGTTACAAGTTACAGCCTCATAGAGATGGGTACAATCATACCTCACCGATAGTCCAGCCATTATTCATGCAATATTTTGTTATACCAAGTTATCTGGAAAGTCTCTGGCTGTCCTGTCAATCATAAGAAATTAGCCTCCACCATATTTATAGTAGGTACATATTTCTGAGATTCATCATCTATTTACAAGTATTTATAATTAAATGAGTAATGAATTTATCATTTCTTTGTTCTGTGACAATAATTGAGATTAGTTCTGAATGATTTGTTCCTTCAGTATATTTGATATTTTGTTCTTATAATAGAATTAATTGTTAAAATATAGCAGTAAAATTAGGTTGGCACGAATGTGAAATACAAAGTTACTGTGCAGCGGAAAATAATTGGCAAAGTAAATTAGTAACGCCAAAGCTAACGGAAATTAACATGTATGTGCAGAGGGTTTATAAGCAATGCTTGTGCAGGGCAAAGAAAGTAACCAGAGGCGCCACACGCAAACTACAATGACTTGGAAAACATTTTACCTAACGTTCCATCCATAGTGGACGGGCTTGCGCGTGGTCGCTGCGTTATGGTGCGCATAACTTTGTCCGTAATTCTTGTTCTGAGTTGGTGGCTGATACGCGGGCTGAGATCCTGATGGGTAAGATTGGGGGTTAGAACTCCTCGAATTCGAACTGTATGAGGAGTAATTTGGATTTTCCATGATCGGTCTAGTGTTGAAAAAGTTGCTTAAGCCTCCGTTCTTGGATAAATTACCGAGAAGGTTTCCAAAGACATTGGACAGACCGCCGCCGGTACTGCCTCCTGCGCTGCCGCCTCCGCTGTTTGCATATTTGTTCAAAGTGTTCAAAATACTGTCGATGGGGCTGCCGCTTCCACCACTGCCGAAGCTGCCGAAGCCGCCAGAGCTAGAGTGCGAGCCCCCATAGGGAGAGTTACCCCCATATGGGTTGCTGCCACCGCTAGAAGAGCCGCCGTAAGGCGAGCTTCCTCCATAGGGCGAACTGCCGCCATAAGGTGATCCTCCGCGATTATTGGTTCCTCCGCCGTAGGAAGAACTGCCTCCATATGGTGAATTGCCACCATAGGGTGAGTTCCCGCCGTAGGGTGAGCTTCCGCCGTAAGGAGAGTTTCCGCCATTAGATGAGCTTCCTCCGTAAGGTGAGCTTCCACCGTAGGGCGAATTGCCACCGTAGGGTGAGTTACCACCGCTATGTGAGTTTCCTCCATAGGGGGAACTGCCTCCGTAAGGTGAATGGCCACCGCTGGACGTATCACTAGAGGGAGGGGCAGGTGGGTTGTAGTTTGGAGGACTGTCGAAATCTCTTGTAGGTGGCTTAGGTGCAGGTGGCTTAGCTGGTTCCACGTGCGATCCTAAAACAAACGTTACGGACTTGCATTATATAGATTCAATTTAAAACTTTGCTGCATTTATCTTATAAGGTCTTACAGACCTTAATATGTAAAATCAAGAGATCTATCAAAAGTGCTTACCTTCTACTTGAGACTTCTTCTTGCAAGTCGGGTATGTGCCGCAGTTGGTGGAGTGACCGAAGGTACACGGGTCCTCGGCAAGCACGCACACCTCACTGTTGAGACATCCGATATCCTTGCAGGTTCTTCCATACTCTGAAACAAGCGATCAAAAGGTTAAAATCAATTATTTTGCGAGTTTAGGAGTAGAGACATAATAAATCTGTGCGTTTACTTTCTACATTGTCTAAAGTGGAATTTTCCAGACGTAAGTATTACATGTAGGTATTAATCAAATAAGGAATATTATGGTCTTTAATATTCACGAGTTTACAACTGCACTTTAGGTACTGCATGCATTTATCAGTCAACTGGCCATGATCATCACGTTTTTAATTAGCCTCTCAACTAAATGTTTGCATATTTTGTATACAAAAAATCTTGTTTATGGTGAGCATTGTTAGTTTTTTTATAGTCGTATAGTCTTATGGTTACTAGATCATTGCCCTACGTTACACATCCAAGGTTAGTCACATTTCAAAGAAGCGGGAAAAATATATCGGGTGTCTTATGGGAGACGAGGCATGGTGTATTTTTGGCAACGCCCACTCTTCTTCTTTGAATTAAAACTTCTTGCGTAATTTGTTTCTGGTTTACGCACGAACAGATACGGAGAAAGGGTATTTTAGGGAGAAACTGACAAAAACATTAATTGTGTTAGCAATACCTGAAACCTAGAACGGAAGAACGGACCCAATTTACTGAATTATCTTTACAATGTACCTGAATAAACAAAGAAATTGTCAATTTTCTTGTAACGTTAATTCCCGATGTAAGTACCTAAGCACTAACTTTTTCTAGGACATAAATATTTTTTTTTAAACTAAGTGTCATTATCTACACAGTACGCAACGTTACAATTGTCTGTATGCCCGTTTATTCGAATAATAAAAGGGATTTGGATAGGTGAAACGTGTTTGAAAATGAAAAAAAAAACTCCATATAATATCGTATGAATATATTTTATTCCGCTGTGTCTACGAGAATTTCGCCCTTTTATAACCCAAAAGGCGTGACCGGGTAAAGAATTCGGTTGTAAGGGAATAGGGATCATTTGCATATACAAGATTATATACTTAGATTGGACTCGCCGTCGTCTTCGAGAGTCAATATCACACGTAATAAAAGCCTACCGAACCGAAAAACTTTGCCATCGAATTGTTTTCCACTACGTAGGTTTTATGTACTCTATCATAATAGGTTTTTTGTAGTACAGGTATGGGGTAGATGGGCACTTTATCTAACAATACAGAAGGGAACGAAAATTTCGTACAAACATCGCATTGAGAAGTAATTTTGATGCGTAACATTAGTACTACTTCCGCGCGTTAACCGCTCTGCTCGGGGCCTATTGATCTTTTTGTGATTATTTATAGCCTACAGTTTTCTACGACAAATGGGCTATCCAACTAAAAAAAAGATTTTTCAAATCGGACCAGTAGTTTCTGGGATTAGCGCGTTTAACGAAACAAACAAACAAATACACTTCACAGTATTAATGTATAAGTATAAGAGTACGTCAGTATGTAGAAGTTCAAGATTTTCTACGAATGGGAAACAGAATATTAGAAAGTACTTTAAAACTTTTCGATCCAGACTCACAAGTTCACTTGAATTCCCAGACGCGACTTTAATCACTTGAAAACGGGACAACTGCAGTTGTCTTAAAGCGGATTGTAAAAGCGGAAGTTCTAGTCTTTCTAGATTCATATCATATTCCTTGTGAGGGGAAACCGCGTGTAGATAATAATGCCGTTGCTTTGAAATAATAATGAGGTTCAACGCAAGATTTTCCGCAGTTTATGCCTTAATTTATAATGGGGTCCTATTTATCATTGTTATGGTTTATTTCATCGTTTCCAAAATAAAAACAAATAGGTGTATAGGATTGTACTACGCGGAATATTAACCACATGTAGTACTCATATATTTATAACAGTTGTGATAATTCAACCAATTAACACAATTTTTATTTCTAGTGCTATCGTACCGCAGTTTCCCGTTAGATTGGCGTGCCAAAATAAACAAAACCGCAAAAAATGTTACATAAAACATTTTAAGCTAACGAACAAAAGTCATTTTCCCCGAAATAAAATATTCCATTGCCTACTTTACATGCAATAATATACACAAATAAAAAGGGCATCACGGGTAGGATCATAACTCATTGTTTTGTAGCTCCGCAAGTCTGATGCTCGGTTTACGCCAGCATTAGGTAATGGAATCGAGCCATTTCTTGGCAATTTCGGGGCTATGCGTACGTGCTTTCAGAAAAACTGTACGGCTGTCAAACATACTGAAGATACTGAACATCGTTTAAAAGAGATGATATCAAGTGACACCTCGCTACGCAGGCATGAAGGTTGAACGCGAATTAGACTGCGCATGTATGTAATAACAGGAAATGTTTATATTAATGCTGCACGTTCTGGTACGTAGTTATCAAAATCTATATTTTGCAGCAAGTTAATGATCAAAAACAAGTAGATGTTATAGGTATAAGTAGTATCAAAATAAGTCCTTACTTGAGAACCCATCAGCATAGTAAACTAATGCAAAAGTGCAGAGCACCGTCTTCCAATCCATGTTCAACCTGCAAATAACAAAAACAAGCGTGAGTTCAAATACCAGAAATGTAATAAAATAAGCAAAAATTTACGTATAGAACAACTCATATTGGAAATTAGATTTTTGCGAGCGCAACACGGCAACTCTTCATTAGTGGAACACTTAGTACCAGTCGTACTATACGTCGGTGAAACGTAAGCAAGTTGAAACAGCTTCGACACGTGTATTTCAACGCTGCACACGTCTGTCCGACAGCTTTGCTGAAACTTTATGACACCTAGCTACATTCCCCGAGCAATTTCGCCCGAAACTGTTTCGTATAACCTCGTTACCAACTACTGCGCTCCACTATGTAAGTAAACGTTTTGCGGATATGACACAAGTTGTTTCTCTTTATTGAAAACAGGAGAAGCGACAGATCCAGTTAGTGGGAGCGCCGCGTTTGTGTACTCTGTAGATCAACTTAGAATATTTAATTCCTTTCAGGACTACATAGTTTACGAATAGCGCGCGTTTTCCAAATTGAATTTGAATTGCTTTTTGCACGTGTACCAACGTTTTGGAATATATCGCGTCGATTATTTACAAGGAAACTGTTGAAATGGTTTTTATTATAATTATACAGAAATTATCTGCACCTTGTTATACCGATTGCACTTTTTGACGTCGTAAACCGTTTTTAATGAGCAGGCTCATTATAATATTATAATGAATATGAACCATGTGCAATATTTTTTTTAAAATAACACTATTTAGTTAGATATTATTTGTGTTTTTTTGATGGGAGAGAATCATCCAATGACTTCTCCCGCCTTAGGTGCGCCGAAAGGGAGTGTCAGACTCTTACTGACTAAAAACCACCCCGTTCCAATTTCTGCTCTTTGAGCCGAAGCCCCGGAGATACTATCTGTGGTATCCATAAAAATACTCAAAATGGAAGTCTTATAAATACTAAAAAAACAATGGAAATAAATCAGTGGGCAAAGTGATAGGAATAGAGCGGTAGGGTGTGCCTCAATGTCGCAGGTCAATGAAGGTTGGAGGTCGGCGGTCGGGCCAGTCACGCAACTTACACCTTACTTCATACATAGTAAGTACAGGTTGAATAAACTATGGAAAAATCAATTTTTAGAACACTCCAGGTGTTTTTTAAGAAAACTAAAATCATTCTCTCATAGTCATAGACATTTTATGTTAATAAAATGGAATCACGAATCTTTACAAGTAATTTGTGAATATTCCAATTACTTACAGCTTGGGAAATCCCTAAAGTAATTATTTATTAGCATGACCCTTCACGTGAACATAACGTTGATCCTAAACAAAGGTTTTCCTTCCCCTAAGCTAAACCATCTGACGCATGGTAAAGTAACAAGCACAAAGGAAAGAAAAACCTTTAGGCCTTTAAAGACCCACTAAATCGAGGTTAGAATGAATGGTGTTGATTAAAAGGAGTTTCAAATTAAAGCTTCCCTAGAGGGATATTACATGCCATAGAGCAGAAATTGGATAGCGATACGAGAGATATATTGCCCGACATAAAGCCGTGCTCGGTAACTTTCTGCCCATTTCCGGCAGCCCACTTGTGAATCGTATTTCGGAATCCTTTTTATCTTTTTGCCAGAGCGAAGCGGCGGCGAAACGCGAAGTGACAGCGGCACCAAGCCACTTCGCAGCTCATATATCACTTGAGCCTGTAACGGCCATGTTAACGGCCCGCCTGTCACCTCCGCGTTTCTGTCGTCCACTAGCATTCCTCTTACTCCTATTGTCTATTTAATAGCTTTCTAATCCTTCACGTCACATACAGCTCACAACGACGTTACAAACACCATCTTAAATTATCCCCGAATGCCTCTTTGACAGTAGCGGTTTTGTCGAATAATCGAATAAAAACTATGGATGTCTACTTGTCCGGGCGAGGAACAGTAAATTGGTAGATAAAGGAAGTAACCAAATCAGAAACCACGACAGCAACAAGGAAAACGTGACGTCGCAGGCAGTGTCAAACCTGTGAATACATAGACAGGGCTACGTGACGGTTTGCGTTAAGAGCCCGACGTTGTTGGTAGCAAGATTTGGTGCGTTCAAATTCCAGACGCGATGCACTACCGGCGGCTTCCACTCCACAAATTCACGGATTGCACTGGGGATGCGACGGTGTAGAGTAAGGGTGTCGCGTACCGGGATTTATATCGGCGGAAATCTCCGGTGTTCACACTTCATGCTCGCGGCGACGGTGATGCTAGATAAAAATGCTACCGAGGTGGTATCACGAGCGGTTTGAGAAGATTTTCAATCCCGCCAACCTAAGCTTATACACGACACACCGATTTATTCTAGCAGTTTGAATTTAAAGCTTTTCAATATTTCCTGTACCTGAGATTAAATGGTAACAATACAAAATCTAACTCGTAGCACTACCGTTCTGGATCTGGTTCAATAAAAATACTGCGCACAAACCAGTCTAGCGATAATAAAAGTTTAACCACTACTGAGAAACATCTGTTTACTTTGCATTACGTTGGATGGCTGATAAGACGGGTAATTCGTAAATGAGATCACAAGTATTTATTGCTAACGTCCATCGTATGAATAACAGCGGATGATTTATGTATACTTATGCAATTTATGACAAAATATCTATAGGCATTCAATAATGCCAAAATAGTTTCGAGGAGATCCAAATTAAAGACACAAAGCTGTTTAAGACTAAGGGTGTATAATTTATATTTAGAGAATTAATGTTGTGAGTAGATCGCTAATTCACGAGGAAATTTCTTTTCTAATAAACAAATTCTAGTCCATTATTGTCTAGGGTGTGTCGATTATTCTTGAAATTATGGCAATTAATGTCAAAACTTCAACCATTTACTTACATGTGTAGGTACTATGAATATTGTATAACTTTTGGTATTATGTATCGATCGGGGTATAGAAATGACCAAAAGCAATATAACGTGTTGTTGTTAATACAAACTTATTTCCGTGTTTGTAGTTCGAATACACCGCAATCAATTGAACTTTTATATGAAGGTCTAATTATAAGTGGTAGTTTTTGCAATTCAGACCCAAACTGCTTCATATTTTGATATAAGCTCGAAGGCAATAGCAATCCATCAAACAACAGAAAACCTTGAGATTTGAAAGGTCATAAAATAATGGATTCACGACCCTTATCAAGTATCAAGGAAGTGGCAGTTTGGTAGGTCAGATTTTTCAAGCGTTTCGAGGAAAACAAGAACGAAAGTTGTGGGTTCTGTACCACGCTGAGGTCAAAATCGAATTCAATCGAAAATCTAATTTCACCGCTGTGGCGCGTTGGTAAATTATGTTCCACGATAAATCAAAAACTGCGAGACCGTCCAGACAATCGTATTTAGAAAAGTGCGAATTACAAGAATTCCGTCGAATGAAGAGCGTGATTATATTGGTTGGAATAAAGCCAAATGTAGATCGGGGATATCGAGGGACAAGCATAATTCACTTATCACCCATAAATGCTCTATTTTTATGGTTGTCTGCACCATTTATATTATAGAGGCGCTTATGTGCAGAATACATACCTACAATGATGTGCTAAGTAGATGTTTGTCAACTTAGTTTACACCTACTTATTAATAAAAATGTTTTATCCATTTTGCATGCTATGAGGAAAAGTATTTAAAAATTTAATATAACTTCTATTTTCCGATAACTTCACTATCTCACGTTTGAATAATTCTATTAATTGCTACTATTGAATGTCTATGCAATTGAAATGCATGTCTTGGCATTATTTTGAGCAATTATTATTGTTAGTTTCCATTAGCTTCAGAAAATAACCGGTTCTATGTACCTACTGTAAACGACGATGTGATCTGATGACACAGATGTCCTTGAGACGGGTCATTCTGTGATAAAGCGCGATTGTTCTATTTATGGCCAATTAGTTTACGTCTGCTACATACCTAGGTACTTACAATATTTTTTTCGCATCACCTAAGACGTGCGCATGTGGAAACTATTTATTTTTTATGAGGTGTTAGCATGCAAATAATGTGACAAACCAAATGTTGATTTTAAATGCGGATCATAGAAGATATTTAACGAGAAACCACATAGTTAAAGAAAAGGGAGTTTGTTATGATATAAAGACATCTGACGGAGGAGATTCAGATCAACTTGGGATGGCGGCAGAAAGATTAAGAAGAAGAAACACCTATATGGACAATGTGATGTCAATGTGTATGTAGCAATCAATATATAACCTATATGGGTTTAGATAAGTTTGTTGATTGATTTCAAAGATAACGTCGTGCGTGTTCTATGACTATTATTATGAAATGTTAAATGTCGCGTCGTGCTTTTAGGTTGGGTCCTTTACGTCATCTAATTTGCTAGATAGCCTAGAATTGTGTCTTGGTTTAAGCTTCGGTAGATAGATACCTAGCTATCTTTATACGCGTCTAGATTGTATTACTGTTATAAAATAGAATTTAGATATATTCTTTATTGAGAAAATCTACATATAATACTGAGATTTTTAGTAAAGATCAATAGACTATGCTCAAATCTTTCTCTTCAGTTCATTTACCTATTAAATACCAAATAAAAATTCCGGTTCTTTGGCGTCTTGAAATATTCTCTTATTTTTATTAACATCTCAATAAGATGCTACGAGTCCAAGAACAGGCTATTTTACTTGAAATATGTAACATTATTTTGTCCCAAAACACGGCCGGCTGTTGACATTCAATGTATTGAGGTCGTCTCGATACAATTTATAGAGTTTACCCTGTTATCAAGTTTTGTAATCTGTCTGTTTGACCTTTGCGTCCTATCTTTACTACAAACAGACAAAGGATTGGCATGTAATTATAAATGTAATTATAAACATTTTTATGTAGGTACCTAGGTAGGTTCTAACCGAGATATAACGCTACCATAAATAAATAAGTTCACTTCTACGTGGTTGGGTGGTATTTTGATTTTTTTTTATTAAATCTGGGTGCATTAGTTGTAATAGGGCACATAAATGGCTGTTTGTCCTTAGGCAATAGTTTCAGGACTTTCAAAGTAGGCTTCACCCAATTTTATGGTCAAAACAATTCGATAAGAATTCGCAGAACTCAAAACATGTAAGTTTATTATGTTTAATCTAAGAAAATAAACTATTTGCGAGAATATAGGGCGCAGTTTATCGGTTATCGACGAACTTACACTGAACACTTATTGGGTTTCAAACTGCGCGTATGACAAACGTAACCACTGCGAATTTCCGAGTAAAAATTGTATTAGCTAAGTGTAACGTTGTCGCTATAAAGTATAAACTTCCGCAATTGTCCCCTAGCTATCGTTCGCAGCCATTGTAGAATATTGCGCTAGATTCTGAACATTTTGGTAAAACGTGACTTATAACCATTCAACTCTGTGCTGATATTAGCAAGCTGACGTTGGCATAACGCCATAATTGTACCGTCGGGCGTGTGTAGCTTCAGACCTAGTAGACTACATAGGAAGTGTTCCTTCACACAAACCAGACGTTTTTATGGCCAGCAATGTATCACGATGTTTATATTTCTTGGGATTATTATGTAACATTGTTGATAACCTTTTTATTGAACGTAGTAACCTCTATGTTTGGCACTCATTGATAGTAAAACAGGGTATTAGTATTTTCCCAGTAATGCTAGGAAAGCGAGCCGAGTTCATATAACTACTTATCGATACTTCGAGATTTACTAAGAACGAAAACGTACTATTGAATTGAGTCAGGAAATTATTCAGTAAGATAATTAATAAATATTGATGTTATTTTTAATTCTAACCATGTATGAGTTAGATAAAAAAAATAGGACCTTTGTAGGTTTACATACATACATAACTGCACTTTTGTTTCCCATGGGGGTAGGCAGAGACTGGAACGCCAATAGCTACGATTCCTACATACCTCTTTGGTTTCATCAACAATTTTTAATACTTATCAATTATCAAAACATCTTTTTTGAAGTGGGGAAAGTCATCGAATTACTTTTCCCGCCTGGGTGAGATTAAATACAAATAAATATGACATATCTAACCTACCTACATATTTATTTCAGTACCTAAATAGGAAAAATAAGTCTGACTAATTAAATTGTAATTAAATGGTAATAATGTTTCTTTTACCTCATTGATAGCCTTAAAAATATGGCTCTTTAATAGGAATTATAAATAATTAACACCAATTAAATTACTATGAATAATATTATTGTATGAGTTAATTGACTAATCTAACCACTAAGTAGTCATCCGAACCAACATCGCACGCAGCCATTCCTACAAAACCATAATAAATCATCATGACGCATTTTTATTTTGGTGAAAATTATATGAAATTCAGTGCAGCAGTTTCTGAGCTTATCATGGTCAAGTAGACTGACGCACCAAGACTTCGTTTTACGTAAATATTTATGTTACGATGAATAGTGTAATTCTAATTAGGAACCGTAGTGGTAGCAAATGGATTATTTATCCAGCTATAGGTATTGCTTTTCTTTGAAAAAGACTACACGGACTTTGTACATAAAGTATGAATCATTTTCTAATAGATGTGAATGTGACTACTAGTACTTACTTGCAAACGCAACCTTAACGCATGGACAGGTTTCTTCGTTGGTTTTAGTAGGCAGATTTTTATGCCTTCAAGGAGTAGGTAATGCAAAAGGGACACCTTCTTTTCGTCCTTTACGTCAGGTGTGATTATAAAATTAGCTGTCATGAGTTTTTTTAAAACCGAAAAAACCCAAGTAATGTTGCCTGACCCGGGAATTGATATCGTCTTCCATCCTGGCTTCTTTGCGGAGCCCTATTATCCCTAAGGCAAACTAGGCAAGTCCCTAGAGCGCCAGGTTACGCTCGTGGCTGCCCATTGAGTGACGGCGGCGTCAGAGAACATTAGGGTGTCTAAAAAAAGGTGTTTTGCCGACGGTACTCTCTAGGTTTAATATGCCACTCACTCACTCAGTTGCACTTGCGACCCCATGATCAGATACATTCATATATACATCACATCTTTTATCCCCGACGGGGAAGGCTGAGGTGCACATTACGGCACTTAATGCCACTGTACCATGTAACACCCATTTTTCACTATTTTATGTTATGAGTCCCATGTAGTAGAGGGTGAGCCAACTGTCTTATACCGGACACAATTCCAGACTCTGTCCTACCACTGAGATTATTTTTAAAACCCAGTAATACTTAGCCCGACCCGGCAATCGAACCCGAGACCCCCAACCGGGCGAACGCACTTGCGGCCACTTGGCCAACGAGGCAGTCAGTCTCCTTGATAAGATAGGCAATCAAATTCTTGTTAAGTTTAATACCTACTACTTTTGAATGTTTAATTTGTCTTTGTGCTAAGCATAGACTATTCTTCTTTAGCCACAGGAGAACACATTTTAACGGGCCCATCTCTTTTGGTAAAACATATGACATTGTAGAATGCTTGTATGACATTCATCCTATATGAAAAAACTCAGATCTTTCATATAAACTTTTCTGGTTCCACCTCCTAGTTAGCAGTTCCTTATTTGAAAAGATATATTTTTTACTAAACCACCAAAAAGGCTCTCCATTTAATGAAATCTAATTGCTTTCCTTATGACTAAGCTCATCTGTACACAGAATTTTGGTAGAAGTAACAAACAAAATGTGTCAAACTTCAATCAATCATAGCCAAATCTATTAACAGATATGTTATTATGACTGTCCATATACAAGTTCCCTGCTACTATATTGGATCACAATACATATATAAAGTATAGCAAATAGCAATATGTAATGACAGGATGAACCAATCTCAGTCGTACCTCAAGAATATACGGATTTCCTTATTAGTCTCAACTGTTATACTATACATACCTAGGTACACAATATAAGTGTGCATAAACTCATGCGTTTGTCCCATGGGGTCCCATTAATAACTGCAGAGAGGGACCTAAAATAACTTCTAACTATTATGTTCCACTAGCCACTCCCAAACGATTTTACCCGCTGCTTGGCTCTTATTATTACCGATAACATAATGTTTTATAACTTTCTGGAATACATGGTCTATCCGAAAAACAAGAATTATAGTATTCGAATCAGTAGTTCTAGAGATTACAGCGTCATCACAAACCCTTCAGCTTTATAATATTAATAAAGTTTATAATATACTTCTTTAGGCACTCATAACATCCATGCACATGATCACACCTTACTAGATTGGTTAATAAAATTTACATCAGTTTACATAGTTTACATCTTCATTTGTTTTTGTAATATTTAAAAGATGTTTTGCTTGTACTGTTTAAACTTATGTTAGTGATTCAAGATGTGGGTTTTGCAACGCTGAGATAAAAAACACATTACAACTTTTTGTTTACATTCTTTGAATCTTCCCACAGTTTTTGTTCGATTTTCCTTGTAGACTGATATCATCTGATTATTTGGAAATACATGATTTTTAATGTACTAACTATGCAGTGTTGTAGTTTAAAAAATATTGTACATAGTGTGTACATTGTAGTACGCCAAAGTTGCTAATAAAATTTAATATCCATTTACTATTACAATGCTCAATCTTTTCTGGAAGAATAAGAGACATGATAATTTAAAATATACAATAGTATAGTACTTAATGGCAAAGCAAATGGTAATTTAGAATGTAACATCTTTGTAGACAACTAAAATTATATGCACACTAGCTTCTGCCAGCGGTATTGCTTGCATTGACATTCGATAAAAGTGGCCTAGACGTTTTTCAAGACCATAATCTACCACTGTTTGAAAACTCACCCAGTAAGAAACATACAAACTCACAAAATTTCGCATTTATAATATTAGTAAGTAAGATTACAGAAATACAATACTTAGTATGTTAGCATGAAGGTTGAAATTAAAAACAATAAAAATCCTTGAACCTAGGCTTTACAACATAAATTAGCTGACTCTAACAATATATTGAGTCATTTACCTGTCCATGGTAATATGTAGCTGAGATTTAAAGTTCTAAGGTGAAATATTTTTAACACGGATAAATTATTAAGCAGTTAGACCATTTTGAACTTCAAACACGTCACCGTAAGGTCGGCCTTACTCTTTGTGAATTAAAGCTCTAATTCTAAAACACATCCGTATTTAGCGCAAACGAGGAAATCGACTTAATGAAATATCGAAATAAAAAATAAATAAAAGAGAAAGCTAGTGGAGAGTATTAGAAGATATTTAAAAACTCACCTTGTGTTTTGTTCCCGCTGGGATGTCCTGTCTGATCTCACAGAAATAACTAATAATATAACTACTTTTTTTCAACACAACACAAACCAGTCTGTATGTTCCGCGAACAAGGTCAATAATAATATATCCAGATTTTGACGTAAACGTAGAATCGTATTTCGTATTACGTTACGGATTTCATAGAAACTACTTCGATTATTGCAAAAAATATGTGTCATGCAAAATGTGTAAGAGAAATAGAGTATTGTTGTTCACCAGTGTTTGAAAGAGAGAGAGAGAATATTGATGTGGTTGTCACGACAAAATATGGAAATGGAACGCAGCTTAAGTGACATGTTAAAATGTCATATGTCATCTGTCAAATCAAATCTGACACTACTGAGAACGTTTTGAACATCTCATAAAAATAGTTCTCATCTCATAGTTTGTTACTTCACTTAATATATGAGGTGCTAAATTGAATTATAAAAATATTATTCATCGAAATAATAATTAAAGTATAACCGTTTAGTTTGGCTTTGTAACGGTTTTTAAAGACTAGTTATTTGTTATTTAGTAATTATAGTAGCAATCGTTCGATCTGTATTTAAAATAATTTAAATTATGAACGTACTTCAATTCAATGACAGTTAAACCGGATACACTGGAAATCATCTAAGCCCGCGAAATATTAATTTCTTGTGCGCTTTTGACTAAATTAAAAGAATTTTAAACTTTTTTATAATTGTTTAGTTAATTCCCTAAATGTCAAATTTAGAACTTTGCGTTCAACAAAAAATATAATAATAAAGGTATGATAACATACAAATCATAAAATTATAGATATTTTCGGTTCTTATCTACTCAGTGCAGTGGTGTGAGAAAAAAAGTCCTGTGTCTTAATAAAAAGGAAACAGGTTGATTATGATAATGGTAAACTATTAAGTTAATCGTTAAACACAATAATGTAACTATAGCTATGCCTATAAGTAGGAACCTAAGATTTTAATTAGCTTAATTCTAAAAGTAAAACTTACAAAAATAATATTAAACTGTCAAATACCAAGCGGTCACCGGTGACCGCAACCTATTGTTCTATAATTGTGTCTACAAAACCGGTACTCGACGAGTTAAAAGGCATTTCATGTGTAGCATCCATCATCCTCAATGCTTATATTCATTTGAATTTAATTATTTTAACTCAAAATGTGTATAGTACAGTCATTTGATATTTATGCTTGGAAAGTTTTCCGGGAGTTTTGAAAATTGGTATTTTTATAGATTTTGACGTTCTCTTACCGAATTTTTCCTTTTTTTTAACCTTTGCCGCCTTGTATCTTTGTCGCTCGCTCAAAACCTCAATTTTTTCGAATTACTGCATTATTAATGTTGTTCCAAAATTAAAATACATTCCATGATATTATAGGCGCTTAAATATATGGAACTATACATTCATACATCGTACCTATATTTTAATAAACCGTCAAAACCAATTTAACGTACAAATTTGTTCTACCATATTAATATGGCGTTTTCATAAGCCACAGTCGAGCAAACATAATCCTAAAACTAAGGCAATATTCCACACACGTCTTCCGCCCAACTATGATAACTGCTTACTAAAGATATTCTTGTGTAATAGAAAACTTACCTACATGATACAATGTAGTTTTGTTACTGAGATATTTTACCGAAAATTTTCGTAGAATTAAGATAGGATTTTAAAATTAAGCACATATGGTTTGGATTTTAGTCAATCTAATATTTAGGTTAAGAATACGGTAGTTGACAGGTAGTCAAATTCAATACTTTTATTGAAATGTCGAAAACAATACTTTTATATGAATTTTGTATTGGATCACTACTTATGACGTCATCATATTTCTGAGTCAAACAGCATACTCATTTCCTTAAAATTAGCAAGAAAAAATCCAAAATTAGGTAAATTGTCAAATCAATGGATGAGAGTATGATTATTTTTTAATTATTTATTGCATTGAAAAGTTGAAACAATTTATTTTAAACCTAGGAAACTAGCGAATTGGTTATTTAAAATAATTGAAGTAGGATGGTTTGTAATCAAGAAAATAATAGGGTGGTTCCCTAAATTGTATTTTAATGCCGGTAGAATAATTTAGAACATTAGACACGTATTTTTTCTTTTCTCATAAAATTAGATACTTTCGACAATATATTAAAGTCTAGGTTTTGAGTATCTCCCTATACTGGCTAACTCTAACATAAAGATGGGAACGACAGTTAAACGTTTTATATACCTACATAATTTACCAACACAAAAATTATAGTGCTATGAAGTCTATTTGAAGAAAAACTCTGGATAAAACTAACTAGGTAATTGGATGTGTATCTACTTAAATCTACAGTAGTTGGATAAAGCAACGAAACAACCCAAACTACAGATACTTAGCTTGTAACATGAAGTTTCAAACGTATTGAGAACCAACCTACTCAGAAACAGTGTTTCGAATTCCGTTTAACCGACTTTTTTCTGGGAGAAAAGTGTACGGGCTTAAGAAAACTCGAACGGCTTCAACTCTTGCTTCCTTTGAGTGGGTAAACAAGTTAGGCGGTGTAGCGAACTTCTGTTTTGTGTCAAGTGAAGCGTAGAATTTAAATTCGAGTAACCTGAAGATGGTGCACTGCGGTCGGCAAGATGGTATTTACTTTGAACTAGAACGTTACCGATGTGCTGTTATTTGATTTTGATGTTTCATTTTATTGGTACAAGATAGCTTTTAACTTGACTGCTGTTATTAGGTAAACTTTAACTTTAAATTTATGTAGGTATACCAATTTGGGCTTATTAAAGCCTAACAGAAACTCTCCTTGCAAAATATGTATAAGATTTTTATTGCTCGTTATGTAGTCCTCGTAAATGTATGAACAATGAAAAAGTCTTTAGTTCAGACATCCAAAAAAAAGACATGTCTCTAAAAAAATCTTTTACTAAAATATCTACACCTTTCTTTCAGAATAGTAGCTTAGATGGGTAACATTAAGGCTGATTTAGTTGATACCTTTGCCTTTTCGGATTCTAACGTCAAGTAAAGCCATAAAGGGTAGATGTAGAAGGTGTTATGTGCGTAATTATTTTTATTATCTGTTGGCAAGTTCCATTCATCATCACGCGCCTTATTTATTGCTGACTCACGCTTGGCGTCCCATTCGTGCCGTCAGCGTATTTTTCTCTATTACTCGCGCGAAGACAGAAGTATGATGACAATCATTTGTAAAGCTTAACAGTGTGTTTTCTACCATTTGTACTGTGTCCACGATAGATTGAGCTTTATTTTGGGTTTCTTTTATTGTAATTAACTAAATAACTCTGTTTCTAGAAAGGTTCTAGTAGACTATAAGGCTTTCTTATACTATCTATTCGTTTTAAAACCTATTCAGGTGAAACTGTAAATTAATTCCACTACCTACCTCTAATTTAAGTCTTCTATTTCGTAAGCGAATTAGAGAAAAAATCTGATTAAGTTACTTACCTACGTAAGTAGATCAATAAACTTTTTAGTCGTATTATAATTGGGTAACACCCGAATACTGAAAGGATACTTAAATTTAAGTTGTACTTAAATATTGTGTCATCTCTGACATTTTACAAAGAATTTGTGGTGACATAATTATAGTTACATATATAGACTGCCTCGTTGGCCCAGTGGTCGCATGTGCGACTGCCGGGCAAGGAGTTTTGGGTATAATTCCTGGGCCGGACGAAGTATTACTGGGTTTTAAAAAAAATCTCACTAGTAGCACGGAGTCTGGAATTGTGCCCGATATACATATGGCAATAAGCTCACTCCCTATAACATGGGACTCATAACATAAATAGTGAAAAGTGGGTGTTACATTGTACAGTGGCATAATGTACACTTCTGCATACCCCTTAAAGGCGTAAAGTTATGTTTTAATTATAGTTAAGTCCGACTTCAAATTAGTTGATTGAGTTGATCTTGCCTTTCAGTATTCGAGCGTAAGTGGTATGTAAGAAGACACAAAAAAACAAGTAGGTATAAGTACTTATGGACTTAGGTTTAAATAATCATGTCTAAGGATTTCCTCAAGGACTAAGATTCCTTTTGGTACATTCATACATTTATTACACAGATGCGATCACAACTGTATAGAGCTAAATGCGTCTTTCTGCATACTTAACAACGCATCACATTTTAACATAAATAAATAAATGAATATAGATATTTTTATTGCAATAAACGGTATCATATAAGGAACTTGATACGTGTAAGTAATATGAAAACGTTAAGTAAATGAGATTTCCTTATCTCTTCAAATGTATTAGGAGATATTCATTGTAGGAGACTGTTATTGTCGATCCACGAATAGATATTAATATCTGCGTCGTAAATACTCCTCTTATTGTATGTTTTCCTTATAGGCGAACACTTAATCTTACCACTTTTTCATCAAATGTGATCAGTTGATGAGGTGTGTCCGGGACGGCTTTGTACACATACCTATATATCTCTGTATGAATTGATGAACTTAGGAAAATATTTTGTTATATTCATCTTTGTCTTGTCTGTTAAGTGTCTATTTAGTGCCAGTTGTAGGCAAGTTAGGTAGAATATGATATGTGAAGGTCTTGTGTAAATTTGTTTACTGAAATGTGGTAATTTTAAGTTTTAATGAAGGTAGGGATTACAAAATGTATTGGTTTTGTTTTTCTATATATTGTATGCTGTTTTATTCAGAGTTTTCGTTCTCTCACCATCTATTCTTTATATTTGTCTTTAAAAGTCCTCATTCACCTACGACTGCATTACGACTTCTATCCTCTAAGATAAAACACATTTTACAGCCAACTGCCAAACCTTCCCACGTCAGCTACTAAAAAAACAAACAACGTTCCTCCGTCTACCCATTAAGTACAATATCGCAGATTTACACCGAAAACGGATGACGTTTGCATAAACATTTCAAAGTAAATAAAAAACAACTGTCGAGTGTCGAGTGTGAATCTCGAAGTGGGACCTACAGAATCTGTAGGGCGGAGTTCCCTAGCTTTATCCTCATGAGAAATTAACCGTTCCATTAGTTTTAATTCACTCGACGCCCGCGCGGTTCGTTATTTCTGCTATATTCAGTATAAAAATGCGTTAAAACATTGCCGTTGCGCTCAACTGCGGTATAAAACAGAGATATGGAGTGTAAAGCGTAATATTG